GGTTATCGAAAACTGGTTGTATCTCTTTTTACTTAATGCGGTTTAGGCCAAACTAAAACGAAATTATTATAGGTATTAGTGTATAAATAATAACAAAAAAGAATGTTGACAAAATGGTGAATGCAGCAAAAAATTTTCAAATAATATTATAAAAAAATAAGCACCTAATTTTTTCCCCACGAGCCGCCACTGAGAAAGCTAGAAATAGGCTGAACCTGAGATGGGACCATGCTATTAGGAAACTAACTAACTAACTAACTTGGGCCCACATATCCAACAATAGACAAAAATGGGTCCAACTACAAAGAGAGTATGTAAGGAAGGATACACCATAGTTGGAAATGGTTGAATAAGCTGAAAATGATGATTATCATAATGATGATTCTAATAAATCTATTTAGGAATTGAAATTAAATTTGTAGATAAACAAGTCAAAACGAATTAAGGATCAATTTCACAAATTTTGTTTAAGGAAAGAAAATATTTATTTTAACACGCAAACTTTGTATAAAGATAACTATTTATATAAAAGTTTATGATACTCGTTGTGCATGCATGCATAAACATTTGGCTTAATATATCAACAAAACGTAATACTTTTACAATAGACAACTCTGCATATCATATAACAAAAGACAGTACTCTATATATTGTCAGAAGAGTGGCTGAATATCCTGCTGATATTAATCTAGTGCTTTTGCTTCCTTCCTATTCCAACTTTCCATAATTCGTGCTTACTATTGTTTCGCCTAACAATGTAAAACTAAAGTTATCTTTTGCATATATGCGTGAGTAATAGAAATTTTAATTAAAACGAGAATGAGAATAGTGATGCTTTAATTTATCTACAAAGATTGGAAAAATCGTATACAGATGTTAATATACTCATCGTATTTATTTAATAATAAATACATTTTTGATAATGGATTATAATAATATTATTAAAATAATATAACTCAATAAAGCAATATCAATAAGAAACAATATTACGAAGAACTAAATTAAATAAGAGCAAATAAATATAATCTGTCCATCAAACCACGCTTTATTTTGACACACGATATCCAAGATCCAAGACATCCAAAAAATGACCGACATGGGCATTCTCGAAGAACTTCCTGAGGGGTTACGACCAAGAAAAATCAAAAATCTTCCTAGATTTAAGTAAGAACAATCTTCGGATTGTCACGGGTTTTTTAACAGGACACTGTCACCTCAATGAACACCTCAGTAGATGGAAACTAAGATGAAAAGGCAAATGCAGATTTTGTGGGAAAAATGGGGAAACGCCAGAACACCTCACCACTGAGTGCGCCGAGACGACAACCATTCGTGCCATGAACTTGGGTATGACTGATATTGGAGATGGAGAACGACCCTCTGTAAAACCGTCCCAGACTACTGGCTTTTGTCATAGCCCTGGGTTCGTATGATGAGTTATAACTCAAGAAAGGGGAACACAATAGATCTGTAAGGTCGCAGTGATTAACCCCCCTCCCACTCATTCTAAATTCTAAAATTCGAGTGTTTGAAATCAGGAAACTACCCCTAATGCAATGCAAATATAAATACCGGGTGAGTCTCAAAAGTGGCTCACCCCTATAACTTTTTAATTTTTTTAGTTAAAAAAACACGAGATTTGGTATGTTAGTATATGACATAAATTAGGATTGATTGACGTATTCAATTGTTTTCGGTCACTTCCGGTTTCACCGGAAATGACTACAAGTTTTGATTTTTAAATGACACCCCCGGTATTTTTTTGAATAGACACTCTGAATAGAATGACATATCATATGTCAATTTTTGACATTTTCGCATATGGTTTATTTGAAATTATAACTTGCCTTTCGTAACGAAAATTTGAATCGAAATACCAAGTGTGTGGTATCAAATTATTCGTAAAAAAATGCTTTTTCCAAATTTTGGAATGAGGGTGTCTCATTAGCATATTTAATACGCTAATGAGACACCCTCGTTCCATTTGAAAAAAACTGAGATATGATTAAAAATAAGATTTGCGCATTTTCTAGCCGGCCAGAACAAGACACTAAAAATATTAGACGATCAAATCTATTTTTCCAAGACTCCTTGATGAAGAACTAGAGTCTTTAACATAGTCATGGCACTCTAGATTGAATTTTAAAATACAATTTTTGATTAAGCGAGAATGTCAAAAGTTGACATATGATATGTCATTCTATTCAGAATGTCATTTTCTATCGAATAAAGTAAAAAAATACCGAGGGTGTCATTTAAAAATCAAAAGTTGTAGTCATTTCCGGTGAAACAGGAAGTGACCAAAAACAATTGAATACACCAATCAATCCTAATTTATGTCTTATACTAACATACCAAATCTCGTTTTTTTATCTGAAAAAATAACAAAATATAGGGGTTATAAATATAAAGTTTTGGAAATAACCTCAGAATATTACCGTCACTTTTTCCGTTTAATTTCTACACTGAAAAGTAAAAGAAAACTACAACATTGCACCACAGATTGTACTTAGATTTTTGTAAACATACGATACACAATTATTGTTGTATTAGCTAAGTTATTATTCTTCCCCAACTCAGTTTACAATAGTGCCTAGTAACAGCAAATTGTATCAAAAAAATAGTTAGTAGTGCTACAATTATATTTTCATTTAAATTTCAACGAGTACAATCTGAATATTCTCTGACACAAATTGTGAGAATTGCCACCACACTTCTTTTTCGTATAAGATCAAGCATATTTAACTATTTTGGAGATCTTGTAATAGAAATAGAAGCTACAACGTGAAGCCTAGTACCATTTTAGACGCAAAATGCAGCAGTGGTTTCTACAATTGTGTGGTTTATTACAATTTATTTTTTTTCGTGGATTTAAGAATAAATACTAAACTATTTTACATGTAGGTCCTAAGACAGGAGGGTCCTAAAACTTGGGCCCGGGTGGGAATCAGTGTTTTGAGTGTTTTCTTATTGAATTCGATTAGTATTTTTCTGATATTATATGTACTAAGATGTGCTATACGTCGATACTAGTTGTGTAGCTTTTGTTAACATTTTAATACGTTCTTTTCGTAATTAATTAGTATGATACCACCACATACACCAGAGGCGTAGTCAAAATATTTATCAAAAATATAAATATCTCTTCAAGCACGTAAGTTTTAAAAAGATATATGTGCCAGGGCACTGTTTGGTAGTATGGTACCAACTTGGTCTTGGGTGTTATTAGTCCTTGTATTCTTCTATTATTCACTGAACCAAATGGTTCTATGATCTGCGTTACAAGGGCTATTCAAATTATCATTAATATGTTTGATTATTTTTACTGTACAATATTACATAGATTTAAACGAAATAAAAAAAACATGAACTTTATTTACATATTAAAATTTTGCTATAGTAACATACTGTAACTCGCTTAACTTATTAACACATTTTTTTGTACTTAAGATATTAATTATATTATAATAAAATTAGATAGATAATAAAATTACAATAATATTGGAATAATACAATACACACAATGTACAGGGTGGGTCAAATTCGACGCTTTTAAATGGAAACACCCTTTTCCATAGGAGATAGACAAAAACTAATATCGGTGTCTGGAGCTCAATTTTTGTCAAAAACATGATGGTGAAAACCGCATATCGATATCTGTTACCGTTTCGGAGTTACGGGGTGTTTTTCAAAAATATGCATTTCTAACAAATCGCTGTAACTTTTTTGCTATGGAAAATTTTGTATTTTTATGAAAACATTTCCAAAGCACCTTTTTACGTAGAATTTAATGGTTTAGGTATAATTTTTTTAAAATTAATAATTTAAGAATTATCAACAGAAAATTTGATTTTCTGTTTGATTTTTTATAAGGGACACCCTGTATATTTTTAATTGATTGAAAAGAATTTAAAATTACCTTTCCAAAAATATAACACACTTGATATTTTGCTCCATTCCTCTTCGAGATATAGAGTATATAAAAATTCGCCCGCTTTAAATAAGTAGGCTTTGAACGGCACCGGCTCTAATACAAAAAAAATCTAGCTGTGAGCATCGATTAAAACGAAAATAATATTTGCTATGAGAGACGCAGAATTCTATAACAATTTATAACATTTTAAAACAATTTTAACCAACATCAACACATTTAAACTATATCTAATAACAATAAAATTAAATAGCAAACCAAGACATGAGATTTTGCTACAGGTGTTTGACTTATCGACAGTCTTCTGTTATGGACAGACCGGGCAGTTTTTGAACATTTCTCGCGGAATTCATTAACTCAGTAGGGGTGGAATATACACTCTCATAACTGCTAAGTATTTCTAATTCTTGTCTAGATTATACGCAAGAATATGGAACCTTTATTCTCCCGCAAATATATCCATAGGATTAGATCCATGAGCACTAAGTCAGGCGGCCTCGACGGTCAACGCCTGGGATCTTGGTTAGCTCTTCAATTATTCTTGAAATTGGCTGCAAAATTTCCTGATAACTTCAGCGTTCAGAGGCGATGCGTCGCCTTGCTGGAAAAATATGTTTTCGAGTTCCATTAAGGGTATCATCAATAAGGGGTCCAAAGCCTACCAGTTAAAAGTGGCGAACTTTTAAAAATTCTGTATTTCGAAGGGGATTATAACAAAATATCAAGTGTGCTATATTTTTGGAAAGGTAATTTTAAATTCTTTTCAGTTAATTAAAAATATAGGGGGTGTCCCAAATAAAAAATAAATTTTTCTATTGATAACTCTTAAATTATTAATTTAAAAAAAATTATACTTAAACCATTAAATTCTACGTAAAAAGGTACTTTGGAAATGTTTTGATAGAAATACAAAATTTTCCATATCAAAAAAGTTACAGCGATTTGTTAAAAATGCACATTTTTGAAAAACACCCTGTAACTCCGAAACGGTAACAGATATTGATGTACGGTTTTCACCATTATGTTTTTGATGAAAATTGAGCTCCAGACACCGATATTAGTTTTCGCCTATCTCCTATAGAAAAGGGTGTTTCCATTTAAAAGCGTCGAATTTGACCCACCCTGTACAATAAATTAAAGAAACTAAAATATCAAAACATAGAAGAAATCATATTTTAAATATCAAGTGGTGTCAGTAACTTTTCTCCTTTTAGGCCCAACAGAATATTTTTAGCTACCAAATTTCCCATTGCATTGCGAGCACGAAAAGTGCTGGCTCCGATGTGTGGTGTTATTACTGAAAAAATGAGTTACTTAAGTACATAAGTTACATACATGTAATACCAATCAACAAAAAGTTGTATGAGCTGTAAGAGAGTATGTCAAATACTTACCAATATTGGGTAACTTTAATAATTCACTATCGACATTTAATGGTTCAGGGTCCGTAACATCTAAGCCAGCTGAATATATTTCTCCATCTTTTAAAGCTTTAAGTAAGGCATCGTGGTCTACCTAAGAGACAAATAAAATCAATGTCTAAATAAACAAAAATAAAAAATCAACCAAGAGACTGGGTTTCGATTCAATAATGGTTCTACCGACTCTTCATCATTAGTAAACGCAATGAGTAGAAGAGGTACACCTGCAGTGGTATGCAGATTGTCAGATAAAGGCCGCCTTAGAAAATAGGATAGTAACTTCCACTCTGGGGCAAGCTATCATCATCAAAGTAGCAGCAGGTGAAGGTTGTCTACATTATCTTCCTCTACTTTGAGCTTAATCTTGGTAGATGACCTCCTCAGCAAATTGTCCACACAAGACACAAGAAAAGTAGGATATGCAGACGACATTGTAATTACGGTCAGAGGCCAGTTTGCTGGTATGACTGACAGTCAATGCCGAGAAGACACAGGTTGTCAACTTTACAAAAAAGATAGCACCAAAAGACCTAAAACCACCGCTGATAAGAGAAACAGAGATTTCATGTGCCAAAGAAACAAAGTATCTTGGCGTATTTTATCAAAAGCTCACATGGAATACTCACATATCGAAGGCAACACAGAAGGCTGCTATTTCTTTAGGTAAGTGCAGAAGGATGTGTGGAAAAAAAACTGAGACTTAACCCTATATGGTTATACACAAGGATTGTAAGAATTATGATAACCTATGGGTCGGTGGTGTGGTAGACAAAGACATTGCAAGTAAGCGCGATAAGGCTGTTAAGTTCCACACAAAGGCTTGCTTGCCTGTTTGTAAAAAACCACTCCCACAAATTCGATGGAAGTTTTGTTGCACCACTACATATATTCATACAAGGCGAAGCCAGATCTGTCGTACACAGTTTAATTCATTAGCAGCACATAAGCAATACACATAGCGCTGAAAACCAGAAGCAACTAGAAGATCTAAAAGCAGGCAAGGTATTGGGATTACCGCTAGATACAACAGCTAAAAGGTATAATAGCTTTAACAAAAAATTTAACATAATTAAGGAAAGAAAGGTTGGAGAAAACACAAGTTGGGGTACACCCCCTTCAAGTTGAGACAACCTGGTATACAGACGGCTCAAGAACATTCAAAAGCGTAGGGAGCTGGAATAATATGGCCGAAACAAGGAATATCTTTCCACGTAAGTGAAAGTGTAGAAGAAATAATCAGTAGTGACTGTGTAGAAGAAATAATCAGGCAGCACAGAACACATTATTCGGTGGTCATCTTAATAGCTTATCAATTCCATTCAAAAACCCAGAACCCTTCTCATGCGTTACAAAAGCAGTCACGAGAATGATGGGTGTCTTTTTTTAGACAATTTACATAACAACCTTTAAAAAAATCCAATGTCATTAACATGCCATAGTGTCAAATAAGTACTCCTCAGAATCCTCACACGGAACGATGGGTGTTTTTTTTAAAGACAATTTACATAACAACCTTTAAAAATATCCAATGTCATTAACAAGCCATAGTGTCAAATAAGTACTCATCAGAATCCTCATCAAAAATTATGAAAAGTAGTTCCTAAAAACATGGGTGCAGAAATCCATAATTTTAAAGTTATAGGATGTTAAAACTTTTAAAGATAGACCTTTTGTAATTATCTTAAATAGCAACGGTGGTCAAGTTTAACAGTAACTTACCAGTCCTATAGAGCAGTTGCTTGGTAGAACAAAACTAGAGCAATGTACAGCCAGGCAAAGCCTGTGCAAAGTACAGAGACTAGCATGTATCTGCATCACAAGTGCCATGAAAACATGTGCAACAGCAGCAATAGAGGTCATTCTAGACCTAACACCACTGCATATTGTCGTCGGTAGTTATGTCAACGCTACAATGATGAGAATGGTCATTGAAGGAAACATTACTGGGGGAATTTTTAGGTCAGGAGCTTGGAATACCCTCAAAAAGGAAATTCCACTTCCCCAACTCCCAGTGGATAACATACCAAGAATTTACAACTTTGAGAAACACCTCACTGTAGTATTGAGTAATAAAAATAATTGGAAGGAAGAAACTCCTTACTCAGCATGTAAAAGACCATACCGTAACGTGGTATAAATGCTTCTAAAACCAAACCTAACCCAATGTGTACCTACCCCAGTATACTTCGGGCAGAAATTTACGCTATCCGAACCTTTCAATCTTACGCAATTCGAAGTTGGTCAAAGAATGCCCAGAGAAGCTCAACAAATTAGCCAAAGAAAATAAAGTCCTCCTACTCTGGGTGCCTACTCACCAAGGGATAGAAGGCTATGAAAAAGCAAATGATCTAGCTAGAAAAACACCCCACTAACTGGACCAGAATCGTTCTGTTTTCCAAACGGGAATCAACTGAAAGTCCGTAACTTGGAATGGGTGTCCACCAACGGTCTAAGACACTCGAAAAAGTTCCTCAGAACTTACGACGGAGGGAAATGAAAAGGTTTTCCTTGAGTTAAGTAAAAACAATCTTCGGATTGTCACGGGGTTTCTAACAGGACACTGTTTTCTCAACAAACATCTCAGTAAAAACACCAGAACACCTCATCACTGAGTGCGCCAAGATTACGACCATTCGTGCCATGAACTGCTACAGCTGATGTCGAGGAGGAAGAGCTGGCCTCTGGTGAGCCGTCTCAGATACTGGCTTTTGTTACAGCCCTGAGACTGTATGATGAGTTATAACTCGTTAAAACTCAAGAAAGGGGGACACAATAGATCTGTATAAGGTCGCGGTGATTCACTCCCATCCTAAATATTCTACATTCTACAACTTACCAGTCCTCCTCGGCTAACATTAACAAGAATTCCCGTATTTTTCATTTTAGAGAAAAAATCTGCGTTACACATTTTTCTCGTTTTCTCGTTTAGTGGAGCAGATATAAAAATAAAATCACTCTCTTTCGTTAATGTTTCTTGATCTACAAATTGTGCTCCGAGTTCTTTTGCTGTAACAATTATAACGAGTAAAATTAATAATAATGTATAATATAATAACAGGTATAGTTTCTTCAATAAAACAATAAACATCAGTAAACATTTTTGTTTACCTGCTATCTTAATATAAAAGTATATTTTCTTTAGATAATGTATTCATTCGTAATTATTGAATATTTTGAAAATGCATCCCCTACTTATGAATGAAGGATTATATAAACATTTTAAATATCTGTTCTAATTATAAAAATATACATAAATATTTTTTAGGAGATTTAATAAAAAGGTTATCTAAAGAGGTAAAATTAGGAATAAACGTTTGTTGAATATACGTTATTATTTATTCTAGAAGTGGAAACTTGGTTCGAAGAATGATGTAGAAAAATGTTTAGAATTGATATTATCTCGATAATTAAAAATTGATAGTTTGCATTTCTCAAGCTATTTTTTCAACAGAATTTAACTTTACAAAAAAATCTATTAATTTATTCGAAATATTTAATTAGATATGTGTTTCACTGATAGATGGACCAGAATCAGTTATTTTTGTTTGTACCTACCAAGAAAATCGACTGATATAAATTAAAAATGATGATTTATTTTCTGTTTCTATATTATTCTGAAAATTGGTAAACTTATTGTAAAATAAATATCAATGAACCGATGAATAAATTTGACAGATATCCTAGAGCAACGGGTTAATTATTTGTTTGTCATTATTAATATAATTCAAAACAAAAATATTTAATAAGTAGAATTTTACCTAATATAAAGGACCCATATGATGCGGACTAGAGTGTACCAAAAAACATTTTTTTTCTTTTAATTTACCCTAAAAATATCGTTCAGAAAGATAAATATAAGTATCGATATCGTTCAGATTCTTGTAGGAAATTGAACGGTCTTCAAAAAAGGTCTGAATTTTCATTTAATCGACTCGTTTGAAAGTTATTGAAGGTTAAAGTTTAACTTCAAGTTGTGTATGATACCTTCCACATTTTTTTATATTCTCTCACGAAATGGCTCAAATATGATATTTTATGCGTTTGAGCCATATTTTTCTATATATATATATATATTTGAGCCACGTATTTCATGATAAAATATGATAGTTTATGTTTATGAGCCAATATTTCGTGATAAAATATAAAAAAAAATGTGAAAGTTAACATATACGATTTGAAGTTGAACTTTAACCTTCAATAACTTTCAAACGAGTTGATTAAAAGAAAATTTATAGTGGCCTTTTTTTGAAGATTGTTCAATCTCCTACAAGTATATGTATTGATTTTTACAAAACGCTGATTTGTTAAAACGCAATAAAATTCCAAATAAAAGAATTTGTTTCCCCATGTTATTTCCCCATCGCTAACCGTTAATATTCATATTCACGGCTCAAACTTTACTAGAATTTTTTTTCATCATCCTGAACAATATTTTCACGGTAACTAAAAAGAAAAAAAGTATTTTTTTTTGGTGAACCCTAAATGCGGACTTAATTCACGATGCTGTATACACAACTGATACTGATATTAAAATTATATCTATGCTTTTACTTATATTACCTTCTGGTTTTTCTTTGTGCCCCGTGTATAATAATTTGGCAATCCCAAATGCTTTCAGTTTCTTTGCAATCGCGTGTCCAATTCCTCCAAAACCTACTATACCTACTGTTGAATCAGAAATTTCTTGTCCCAGTAACCATTGTGCGTCAAAATGGTTTTTCCACCTACCTCTGTAAGTTGGATAAAACTTATTATAACTAAAAACCGTACAAATGAGCAATATCAATGAGGCATGGAGTAAGTTAAATTACATTAATTTAGAGATTAAATTTAAATCAAAATCTCTATATCATCTAGATCTTTTTAGAGAAGTTTCTAGACTCATTTTTACTAAAAAAGGACTCATAGACGTGTCTGCGGCAAACATTGAATAAAAAAACTAAAAAAGGAGTCAATCAACAACACTAGCGATAAAGCTAAGGTTTCTTATTTATTCATTTGAGAATGGCCACGGAACGATGGGTGGTCAACAAATCTCTAGAATGGTGGAGAAACTCACCAGAGCAGAAAAAATCATTGTATAACATTCGCCAAAATTCACGGTAGACCCGATAAGCAACATTATAGGGTTGCCTAGTGGGACGTAGGTGCTAGTAGAATATGACACCTAGATTTCAAATTCGCAAAAATTCAAATCTATCAAATGGTGTCAATAATAAAGTTGAACAAAACTAACTAAAAAGATATAACTACGATATAGCTTTCATCTCTAATGCTAAGAATTGACTCTTTCTTAATATTTTTATTCAGTGGTGAGAAATATATTGAAATAGTTAAAAGTATTCTCCATAAAAAAAATCCCAGGTCTTTTTCAAGAAAATGGGCCCGCCATAAATGTAGAGTTATACTCGGTATAGTTAAATTTATCCAAAATGGAAAAAACCGCCACAAAACAATTTTTATTACTTAAATGGATGCATATTTAATCATCATCGCAGCAGATGATTAAGATTACGTAAAGATATTGTTCACGAAAGTTGCGATAAAAGTTTAAAATGTGTGTTTTCAAGTATTTTCATGTATTCATTAAACAGTATGCACTGAAGTAAAAGTGTTTGAATTTAGATAATTTCCAACACCAATTTAATGAATAAATAAGTGTTTCTGTAGTAGTTAAGTTTTATAGTGTATTGTGCGTATACTATCTCCAAACAAATAAATAATCAAATATAATTAATTTACTTAACCTAATGCATTATCTAATATTACTTAAATGTGTCATTAATCAGTTTAAAAGGTTTTTAAGTAACAATTTGAAAAAATAATTATTGGTAATCTATTATGGAATATTTCTTTCTTGAAACATTCAAACTTGAACAAATATAGTTTAAGTTCAGCTAACAAATAATAATTTAATTGTGAAATTCCTAGATTTGTTTTATTTAATACACTACAGTTGCCTAGCGAATACAGTATATTTAGGAGTTGCGATAAATGTACAAAAATAACTTTAAAAGACCTCTATAATTTGACACTTACTTAAGATTATCTGAAAGTGAAGAAAATTAATATCCAGAACATTATCTTCCATAAAACTTGCTTTTATCGTTGTTTGAAAGAATTTAGTAGCTATGCAACTTAATGAGCGAATTCGTGAGAAGGCCCATTTGATTTTCCCTTACGTGTTAAGTAGCATACGGTGGAGCCGCCACTCGACCTGCGGCCTACGCAAAAAATGCTTATTTTCTCTAATTCGGCCAGCCAAGACATATCGAACACGGCGTGGAACTGAGAGCGACAGTATTGCCATATTAAAATGTATAATATCTATAATACGTTTTTGACGAAAATATCTTTGGATGAAAAATCAGCGTTTATGTATTGAAAATTTATTCGTGTTAAACATAGAATAAACAATAAAAATAAAAATTCTTTTATAGGTTCTGAAGATTTCGTATGATCGAAAAAAGTTGTTTAGTTGGTTTGTAAATGACGGTATATATAGTTAGTTTATACAAAAATAGCAGGTTAGTTCGTTAGTTTATATATGAAATAACAGCTTTCTTCATCTCCAAGCCAACTCTGATGCCGTTCTTTGTTAAATCATATAATATTATATTACATTTTTTTTGTTTAATAATAGAAAACCCGTATTATTAATGTACTGTCACTGTACTCAGAATCCAGAAATCTATCTACATATACAGATAGGCAATCTACAGATAGGCAACCACCTACTCTGTCGACTGAAAGCAGAACTACGGTACAGCATTCTTTATCAGCGTGCAGCGGTGCAGAACTAAACTAAATCTCGGACTCCCTTACTGTAATGCTAGCTACATTTCGGACATATATGGTGCCACAAAATGGCCGATAAGGTTGCGCATCTTCTTATTTTCAATTCTTTCATTTGAAAATGATTGAAAATTGATGGTGACCCTTCATTCATTGAATTCACAGTACCACTTTTTAAGTCATTTCATGGATAGTAATAAGTCTGCCAATTTTCACGTCGGCTAATCTCGAGATATAATTTAATATTAATAATATAATATAATATAATATTTAATAATAATATATAATTATAATATTAAATAATATAATTTTCATTCAATGAATGAAGGGTCACCATCATTTTCAATTTCTTTATTTCAATCAACGCTTTTATATAAAAAAAATAATCAAAAATTAATAATTTTTACAAACGAAATATTATAGTAAAAGTTCTAGCTCTATTATAGAGATAATACTAACTGTTCAATATTCCAGCGTCCTTCCGTAAAGCGCCTAGAAGCTGCAAGAGCTAACAGTATTGCTACATTTGAAACAGAGTCTTTGGCTGTAGAAGGGACATATGCAACTGGAATACCTCTAGATTTTAGTTCTGCTACATCGACATGATTATATCCTGATGACATACAACCTACCACTTTCAGCTGTGGACCTATATTAGAAATAATGGAATAATGAAAGTAGCTTCTACATCCCACAAGAGTCAACTCGCATACTCATCAATGTTGCCGCTTGTTGTCGTCTTATTTTATGAACGGTTTACATAATATACAAGACATATACCGTATGATTTTGGAAATGAACATCGATGACATGCTCCATATAATTTATTTGGTTAATAAATAAGTGAAATGAATACCAGTATATCTAATACCAGTGTTGGCTGCGAATGTAATCGTAGTTTTGTGTGTTTTAGTGGGCTTCGGAAACATGTTAAAAAATTTCATCCGAATCGACAAAATAGCACCTTTAATAACTAAAGTAGGTATATATATTACGCTCAATAGTCGAATTCAGGCAATGCCCGAGAAAAATACGCAAATCTAGTTTTGAGCAAGGAATATTTCCCAAACCCGAAAAATTAATTTTATTCTATTCGATTTTTTTTTTGCTTATAGTGTGATTTGATTGCATTGGTTTTACTCTTTTTGGTTGGATTGGTTTAGTTATTTGGCGAGTTGGTTAGCGTGGTTATTTGGAGGGTGTTAATTCATTGGTTAGTTGGTTTTTCGGGTTAAGGAAATATTCCTTGCTCAAAACTATGTTTGCGTATTTTTTTGCGAATTCGACTATTGAGGGTAACATATGCATTTACCTGCAAATTTTGTAATAAACGCAGAAAGAAAAAAATCGTGGGTGTTTGGGCAGGCTCGAAAGGAAACAATGTTTTTACGACGTTTCGCGACTTTATTGTCGCTTCTTCAGGCACCAAAACATATATTAATCCATATTATGCCTACAAACATTCATGGCGATTCCAACCGCCAAGACTAAGCCACATACGGAACATTTTTTTACATTTTGCCCGATGTACACCGGTGCTCGGTTAGTGTCGTTCTGTTCTTTCTTCCGTATGTGGCTTAGTGTTGGCGGTTGGAATCACTATGAATACTTGTAGGCTTGTATGGATTAATATATTTTTTGGTGCCTGAAGAAGCGACAATAAAGTCGCGAAACGTCGTAAAAACATTGTTTCATTTCGAGCCTTCCAAAACACCCACGATTTTTTTCTTTCTGCGTACTAATTATTACTGGGAACTAACAGCAATCATTTTGTAATAAACATTTTAGTCAAAGAAGAATTTAGCATGGCATTTAAAATCACAAGCTTACTTACTTACTTACTGCCATTACTCGCTGACGAGTATTTGATACGCATTGGAAGATGGCTACGCAAGGCGTTTCCTTTCATGAGCTTTTCTGTGACTGAAAAGGCCGATACGTGGTTATCTCTCTTCTGCACTCCGGACATTCAAAAATCTCATTACTTTGTTGCCTCTTTACTTTTTGGTTGTCGTTAATTAACTGAGTTTACAATTCTCCTCCATTGCGTTCTGTTGTGCCCTGCTTCCTCTGATGCTGCATACTTATCCCCTTTAGGTTTTCATGGAAAACATCCTTGTATCTGTTAAGTTGTCCACCCGGTTTCCTCTTACCCTCTACAAGTTCAACGTAAAGAAGAGATTTCAGTAGACGGTTTTCTTGCATCCTGCGTACGTGGCCAGCCCGATCTTAAGCGAGATTTAGTAATCATGACTTCAGCGCTCTCGCAGCTTGCTTTTTCAAGAACTACACACAGAAAATCACATGCACAAGTGGCACAAGGTAATTGACCAAATTATTAAAAAAGTGAGGCAGAGTCAAGTGTAAGCATGACTGTGTTTCTATTTGTCCTCTTTAAGAGTGGAAAAATTTATCGTAATGTAATGATTGAGGGATAATCGTAATGATTAAGGGGTAATAATAGAACTGTTTTAGGTGACGGTTTAAATAATACCAATATCTCTGTACAAAATATTGGAAAAAAAGTCGTATTTTTGATTTTGTCAGTAGGTTTAAAGATGACTTACATGAACATTTTAAACGGGATCATGATATTAGTGCTAAAACAAATTACATGAACTTTTCCTTATCAGAAGAATTGAATTTATGGTTTTCTCAAAATAAAGGAAATATAATATTTGAAATCAAAAATAGTAGGTAAAAATATTTCTAGTTGGATTGACTAACGTTCACTCCGAATCAAATGCAGTGAAAATTAAGATCTATTAGCTTTTGAAAAGTTTTTTTATTAAAGTATCATATCATATATTTTCATAAATAAAAATATTTTAATTTCATTTTTAAACAAATTTTAAATCTCTAGTAAATATTAGATTATAACAGAATAAAAACCTACACTAAAACGCACAAAACTTGGTATTCATTTCGCTTATTCTTACTTTAACTAGTATTCTCATTACTATTAAGTTCTAACAAAATAAACCAAATAAGAATCAAATTTTGAAATAAACCGTAAAAATAAACGTTTCTAGTTTACCTGACAATTGAAAATCATGAAATTAAGTGACAACAAACGGCAAAATTGTTGGGTATGCCATTTGACTAGTATGACGTGGAAGCTAGTAATAATGAATGGTATATTATATTAATCATTAATTTAGTGGTAATTTAAAACAATTTGACTGTTGTGTACATACAAATGGATAAATATAACGGGGGTTCCTTAAAAGTAGGCCACTCTTATAACTTTTCTATTTTTTTAGAAAAACAAATGAGATTTGGTACGTTAGTATATGACATAAATCAACATTGATTGACGTATTCAACTGTTTTCGGTAACTTTCTTTTGAGTCTAATATATATTATTATTAAGGGTTGCAACTATAATGTAATTTCTTACCAGCAGCGTCTAAAATTTCTTTGTCTAAAGTAACTCCTGCGCACCAAAACAGCCCATGGGGCTTTACTCTTGGAAGAAGTTTCAAAATGGATGCTCTATCGTATTCTGTATTTCTAATAACTTCAACTCTAAAAGTTAAAATAGAACAGTTATTTGGGATATAATAAAAAAAAATAATTTCAAAACGGAAACAAAAAGCTCATGTAAAATAATTAAAAATAATCACATATTCATCACTAGGTCAACTTTTAACAGTATTTTGAAAAAATGTTTTTTGAAAAGATTTTTTTTTCTTTAAATTTTGCACCCTCTCTGTGTTATTTTATTTTCTTATTTTTTTATTAATTATTATTCTTCCTTTTTGAAAATATTTAAATAAATAAATTAACTAGTGCTAACTTTAAATTAATTTATTATACCTGTTATATTAAAGGTCGTTTCTGATAAAAATAGTTCTTGATTATTATTTCAATCTAGTACAAGTAATTTTTATAACTAAACAAAACTCATTAAAAAACTATTTATTTCAAATTCATATTTTAATCAATATGATCAAAAAATGCCCCATAAAATTTAATATTTACGTTAAAACCTATTTTATTTTACAGTTTTCATGTGTTTAATCATTTTACATTAAACACCCTTTACACTATGCTAGAAATATTTCAAAAAATATTTCGGAAAACATTTCAGAAGTAAAATCAATGTTTCTCTTATAGTGCGAGGAATCTTGGCTTGTCTCCGGCTGCAAATTCCGATACAGATCAAAATCGGCCGAGACAAGCTGTGATTGGTTGTTTGTTTTTTATTGTTACTGAAATTGTTTCGAGAAACGTTTCGATGAGTTTATCAAAACTTTTATAACACACGTCTATATTCTTCGTACTACTTCACTAATCAATCAAGGTCAAACTCTATGGTGGATTCAGAAAAATTAGTAAACATGGAGTATGAATAAACATCATTAGCTTGTAATGGAGTGTAATGAAATACCACTATATTAAACTGATATAAAAAATCAAAAACAGTGCATTTAGAAAACAGTTACCGCTGATAGATTAAATTGTCTATTCCTCTAAAGGGGCGTCCAGACCGGATGGGCGAGCAGGAGCCAGCAAGAATTCGGGTATGTTCTATGGGAACGCTGAACTAGTGTGGACGGCTCTACGAGCGAGCGAATTATTGCTTGCTCGCGCTCGACGCTGTTCCACGCCGTATCGGTTCATCATCAAAGAAAATTCGCGCTATTGCACGTTCGGTTTGGACGAGATTTTGTTTACCACGTTTGCGATCGAATATTAAAAATATATCTACTATACATATTATAAACATGTGTTCAAATATTAATCTTGTAGAACTTAGTTTTTAGTAATCTTAGAACGTAACAGCAGACATTTTAGAAACATCTAGGTTTACTTATTTCACTGAGATTTTTGAAAAAAAAAGTCCTTTGTCTCGGGTAGAGATACCGACACGTCGTGGAAGTGGCTCGAGACAAAACAAAATTGAACGAGACAACAGGAGACAACCGAAAGTCGCCCAAAAAAAAACCCCACGCCCTTCCCGCAATTTCACGTGTAGTTCCGAGGCGTTTATAAGAAATGAAAGTAGGCCAAGACAAACGGAAACAAGCCGAGACAACCGGAGATAGGCCGAGACGAGACAACGTTAGGCGAGGAAATACCATCTTGACCTGCTTGGGACTGTTTTTCGCATAGTACAGAGGGTGTACAAAAGTATAAGTAGATATACAAAAGTTATAAGTAAATATACATTAATTAAACCACAAAAGTATAGGTAGATATACATTATTTAACATCACATACCGGGTGCGTCTCAAAAGTAGCTCACCCCTATAACTTTTTTATTTTTTCAGTTAAAAAACGAAATTTGGTATGTTAGTATATGACATAAATTAAGATTGATTGACGTATTCAATTGTTTTCGGTCACTTCCTGTTTCACCGGAAATGACTACAACTTTTGATTTTTAAATAGCACCCTTGGTATTTTGTACTGTATTCGATAGAAAATAACACTCTGAATAGAATGACATGTCATATGTCAACTGTTGACATTTTCAAGTGTGTGGTATCAAATTATTCGTAAAAAATGCTTTTTCCAAATATGCTAATGAGCCACCTTCATTCCATTTGAAAAAATTGAGATATGATTAAAAATACGATTTGAGCATTTTTTGTTGGCCAGGACAATCCTTGATTAAGAATTAGTGTTTTTAACATAGCCATGGCACTCTAGGTTGAAATTTAAAATACAGTTTGTTAAGCGAGAATGTCAAAAGTGGACATATGATATGTAATTCTATTCAGAGTGTTTCATTTTCTATAAATATTATTTTCGAATAAAGTAAAAAAATACAGAGTGTGCCATTTAAAAATCAAAACTTGTAGTCATTTCCGGTGAAACAGGAAGTGAACAAAAACTATCGAATCCGTCTATCAATCCTGATTTATGTCATATACCAAGTCTCGTTATTTTATAAGAACTGAAAACATAAAAAAGTAATAGGGGTGAGCAACTTTTGAGACGCACCCGGTATATTTGAATTATTAATCACATTTTTATTTATTATTATCACTGAGAGTTAATATGTTTTTGGTGTATTAAAACTATCTTTTTATTAGAAAATTGTACTTACGATGTTCCAAAGGCATCATACATTGTTTCAGGAACCGTATGATTTGACACAAAAACTCTTGGGAGACTCATTTTGTCCGTTAAATCACTTCACTAAATTTTCTTAATATAAGAAAAGTTCGATGCGTTATGTTATAACCTAAAATAACATTTTAAAGTAATCATTATTTTAAATTTGGTATTAATATTTGGCGGTTATCTTATCTATTTTAAGAAATATAAAAAATCTTTTATTAAATAAATTTATAAGTACCTACTTTATTTGAATATAAGTATCATAAGCAGTTTCGATAGTTTTCACATGTTAAATCTTAATATTTGAGTTCTGTCTTATCTCTATAAAAAACTGAGCAAACATAATTAGCAATCTAAAAAGCGTGGCATTTTAATCGAATAAGCTTGAATAAGTATTTATTTTACAGATTGCAAATTTCATTACTTTTAGTTAAAATTTATAAGTATAAATTAACAGTTACAGCGCTTTCAGATGGTGCGAAGCGTCCGCGACTTCGAGCAAGTACCATGAGTTTACTTGGTACTGTACTGTTGGTACTAGTACCATGAGCAAGTACGCGCAGACGCTCGGTTCAGATGGAGCGGACCGTCCGGTCCGCGCGGATGTTTTTTCAAGATAGCCGTCGACAAACTCATCCGGACGGAGCATACGCGACCCATGTGAAATTGTTCATATAAACTCATGGTACTTGCTCGAAGTCGCTAACGGGCCGTCGCGGACGCTCCGCTCCATCTGAAAGCGCTGTTAGTATAGTATAGGAGCTGGCAAACATTGAGGTGAACGATATTTATCAAAATTTTCACCTACTTGGTCTAATTATACATGGTATAGACAAATTAAAATCGACCGTCTGCCGTTTCAAAGTGGCACCTTTAACTAGGGGGATGCAGTTAAAAAAGGGTGGTTTTAATATTTGGTGAACAATATTGATCAAAACTCATATTCACTCACTTAAAGAAACAACTTCAGAATGTGCCGAAACCACGTGAGCAGACGATTTATTTGACAGCTTAACCCTGGCAGACGCCTGTCAAAGTGGCATATTTTACGGTAAAGTGAACGACAATTATTACACATTAATTTTGGTGGATGTATTCCCCTATTAGTAGGTTAACTAAAAACCATATGGCAGACGAAATATTTGACAGCGTTTCTGTGGCAGACGCTGTCAAAGTGACAAGCTCACTCTTAGTAAACAATATTTATAATCGCTTAAATTGGTAAAATAACATAAAGTACAAGGGTATTTTTTAAATTTAAGAAAGCGGACGACCTATGTGACAGCTTAACTTTGGCAGACGCTTGTCAAAGTGACATATTTTACGATAAAGTGAACGAAAAGTATTACACATTAATTTTGATGTGTGTATTCCCTTATTAGTACATTAACTAAAAACCATATGGCAGACGAAATATTTAACAGCGTTTCTGTGGCAGACGCTGCCAAAGTGACAAGTTCACTCTTATTGATAAAAAATTAAAACTACTCAAATTGGTGAAGTAAATATTAAACAACTTTGGTAAATGACATTTAAACATTTTTATTGAAAAATTGGTTAGGTTTGGTGTAAAATAAAAGTAAAAGTAAAATAAATAATTATTCTTTTACTAACATAAAACAGGATTTTTAAACCTTAATAAAATCAGTCTCTCGTTTGTATTCATTAACAAAACCTAAGAATACTTCAACAAACCTAAAACTATTGTCAAGGATGGAATTATTCGATATATAAAATAACATATTTAATATTAATATATTTCGTAAATTAATAATTCGATTGAAAGGAAGTATAAAATAATTAAAGTTCATTGGCATTTACGCAACAAAAGTAAAGTTTTAAAAATCAAAGTTATAAGCATAATTGGCAATTGCGAAAATATTTCCTTTCAATACTACGAATTTATAAAATCATCAAATCAGCACTAACGCGGTCATCGCACCGGTCATCGCACCGATAGACCAATAATGCTGATTCTGATGATTCGACGTAACGAACCAATAAATACAAAATGTCACCTGTTGGGGGACACAGTGGACAGTCGATAGTCGATAGTAAGTTCGATAAGGTCGCGGTCGAGATTCCGGCATTGGCGTTACACTACCCTGACACTACCCCCCGAGCCAGTGCGGATGATGTTCGTCCATAAATATAATATGTAAGTACATTTAGTTTTATAATTATTGTATTATTCGTAGATTAATTAAATTGATTATTAAGTTAAATTGAAGTATTTATTATTTTTTGTTATGCCCCTAGTCATAACCCACAAAATGGGGTGTGATTATATGTGGTGGAGGCGCCGGTTTTTTATTAAGTAACAATTTCTTTACACATCCATATGTGGTGGATAATACTAAAACATACGAAATGAATAATTTTTAATAGCTTCGATAGCAACAAAGAAGCTCGCACTTTTATTTTACATTTACTGACTTAAATAATTATATATTAAAAAATGCTTGATTATTTGGTAGGACGGACTATTTTATTTATTTTAATTTATTGTATTAATAATAATTGGAGATGGCAAAATTTATATTAAGACTTAGGAATCTCTTATATTAGTTTTGTTTTACTTATTTTTTACCATTTATAAATTCAATGCGTAGGAACATTTTTTTTTATTAAATGTCCAGTATTTTTTACACTATTTAGATAGAAAATGCTGTCGAATCCTATTGTTTAATTTTTTCTTTACTGCATATGGTAATAATCACTGCATATGGTAATAATTTTTGTGAATGTTGAGAATTTTTATTATTGAGAATAATTTATTTATTTTTATTCTATAAGGACACACATAAAACGACATCCAGTATATTGATAGACAGTATATTTTAAATTATTTTTAGTGTTGCCATGATAAATATATAATGATAAATATAATTTTTAAATGAGAATTTTATTATTTCAGTTATTTAAACTGCAATAATTTAACCTGTTGGTTGAATATCATTATCAAGGATGACACTGACCTAGAAAACATTATTCTTGTTACGAATATTTTTAATTTTGAAATATGAGTGGTAAAGGAGGCGACCATATTTATTTGATTCATTTTACAAAAACTGCTGACTTAGTTAGAACTGCATTGTACGTCTGTGTGTGTTGAAAAATGTATTTCATTACATGATATACTGAGCGATAATTATTTTAATGATAGTTTAGAATTTATTTATTTTATTATTATTTAAATTGATTTTTTTAAAATATATTTATAATGTCTTTTGTAAAAGCACCTGTTCTACAGGAATTTATACCGGAAGCCACTTTTTGACCCTACAATCGACTGCCCAATTTCTTTTATTCGAGAATATGATAAAATAACTAATAAGAATGGCTGGAATTATGCTTTTAAGATAAAATATTTAGAATGTTACTTAGAAAACGCTGCTTTTATTGGTATAAGGAATATATTAATGACAAAAAATAATTTTAATAAAGTCTGAGCGATATCAAAAGATTTTATTTTAGAGTTTGAAGTGAAATATCACTACGCAAACTAAATCTAAATTCCGGTACACACGGAAACAGGGAAAATGAAGCTATAAATCTTATTATTACGATTTACTATCAATTGCATATGAAATATATGGTAAAAGTAAATTTTGAAATTTTTAAAGCTCAATTCGAATATGGTTTACATGAATCGTATAATTATCATTATTATCTTCTGCTTACTGAAAATATGAATTTCCAGAGTTTGAAAAATATAATCTATAACATAAGCGATTTAAAAGATATATTATTAGAATCCAAAACATCAGCATATTCCAGAAATTCTTATCATTCTCAAAATTCTAACATAAATAAAAGACAATCATAGCAAGTAAATTCAAATATCAGTCAGAGGCGCTATGATTTTCAATACGAATATTTTACTAATCATTTAGATTCGAACTTAAAGGGCAGAACTAGTTTTTATAAATAATAATAATAATAATAATTATGGTTCAGATAGAATAAACAATGCAGGTCAATCTAAGTACAGTAATTTTTCACAATCAACTAGGTCGTCAAATAATATATGTTGTGATAATCAGGATACTCTCCCATACGAAATGTATAGTAACCAGGAGGAAAATATTTTAATGATGTCAAAAGAGGATATTTTTAAAAAAGAGGATGATTTTGTAAATGACTATAAAGAGGAAACGTTGGATTTCCTCACTTTAGAAAATGCGCAGGCAGAGGAAGATGATAATACCCTCCCTGTAGCGTTGAAATATGCACAGGCAGAGGAAGACTATAATACCCTCCCTGTTGCTGGAGAATATTTGCAGGTAGAGGATGGGGATAATACCCTCCCTAGCAAAATAGAATGTACGAAAATAGAAAATATTCAGAATGAGCTCTTAGAAGTAGAATGCAATTCCTCAAGTTTGCCTATATTAAGTAGAGATAAGGCAAAAAATAGATTTATTTCCTCTGACAATATTCCTGGAAGAAGAAGAAAAAGACAGTTTCCTGAACCTCAATCGATAATTGAGTCAGAAAACATAAATGAAGAACTACCATTTACAAGAAAGCGAAAGGTTTTAGAATATAAACCTGAAACAGATAATACAATGCCATGGAAAGAGCATACATCGAGAAGAAGACATAGGACAAAGATAATATCTAGGAAGCGAAACGTCATGATGGCAAAGGATATTATTATCCACCCTAGCCACCCTCCCTGGAATTGCTGTAGATAGTCAAATTTTACAGTCAAAATTAAATGTAAAATGCGAAGAATAGGTACCCGAAAAAGGAAAACCGATAAAAGTAGAATTTAAGTTTACATTTTCGTTCTAATTATCTAGTCAAAAGTCTGAACATACACAAAATTTTTTTTAGATTTCTTAATTCAATATATAAAATAGGTAAAATCGAGTGATATATTTCTAATTTCTATATATACCATTAGCTGACACAGTAATTTTATGTGACAGAAGTATAAATAATTAAAAAAATCGTAATTTTAATCGTAATTATAATAGGTATAATCTCAGGTTTGAAGTAAAGTTTTATATTCAAAACCGTTATACCACAATTTATAGCAAAAATTAAATTTAGTAGATGAAACTAGGAAACGTAATTCAAATGATTTAAAGTTAAGCTGTGAAACATGATAACGATACGTCTCATGACATACTTTATGTGATAGTTTGCACTTTTTTATTCTTTTCTTTTATGTTTAATTATTTATAGTATTTGGAATCACTTTATAAAGTTAAAAGGCAAAATAATAGGCGTTTAAAAAAAATTTAAATAGA